CCTGTTGTGCAAGTACGCTCCTGGCTATTAGTATAAACAGCTCCTATACTTTTACTATCATTATCATGAAGAATAACTAATTAATATACAACGGTTCAAAGTACTAAATAATATGACATGCTGATGAAATTTAGATATAATAAAGAGCCAATTTTTGTATATTATCTTCCTTTCTATACTTTGTCACACTATTTTATATGTGAACAAATCATCGGTTTTTTGACGCAATAATAATATAACTCAATACATCATTAGGAACATTCGAATGTACACAATTTTTCCTCCATTTATATACTACAAAAATTATTTTTGTTTTACTTCCATTTCTTGCATATACATTTCAACCTATTTTAGTTAATAATCAACATGGCTTCCGTTCATCAAAATCAACTATAACAAATCTTCTTATTTTTTACACTACTTTAATATCCGATATAAGCTCTGGAGGCCGCGTAGACGCTGTGTATACTGATTTCAAAAAAGCTTTGGATAAAGTTGATCATTCAATTTTGTTAAAAAAGCTAAGACTTTTGGGCGTAAGTAATCTAATGCTTGCGTGGTTTTTTTCCTTTCTCAAAAATAGAAATCAACAAATCAAAATAGATAATTTTACTTCGAATATAATTAATGTTACTTCAGGTGTACCACAAGGTGGCCATTTGTCTCCTTTACTTTTTATCGTTTTTATTAATAATTTATGTCGAATTATAATTTTTATAGTATTAAAGATATAGGAGTTATATTATCCAGTAATTTATCTTTTTCTAACCATATAGATTATATTTACAATAAAGCCTCACGAACACTTGGCTTTTTGAGAAGAAATTGTAATGAATTCAATAATATTTTTTGTATCAAAACCTTGTACATTTCTTTGGTAAGATCAATTTTAGAATATGCATCTATTATTTGGTGTCCATATAAAATAGGTGAAATTAATAGAATAGAATCTATACAAAGACGTTTTTTACACTTCATTTCTTTTAAGTCTAGGGATTATAATGTGTCGATCGATGAAATAGGAATCTCTCTTGGTTTAACTTCCCTTGCTTACAGGAGAAAATGCAATGATGTTTTTTGGATTTATAATCTCCTTAATAATAATGTAGATTGTCCAGAAATTTTAAGTCTAATTCCTTTTAATGTTCCTAATTTTCATCTCCGATCTAATAATTTATTTTATGTGAACTCATATCGTCAGAATTATAGTTATTATTCACCGGTCAATAGAATGCAACATTTTTGCAATTTAATTAAAAATTTTGATTTCTTTAATGACCATTTAACCAAGTTAAAATCTATTTGTAGCGATGTATTTTAATTATTAATTTTGTATGTTAATAATTTAAATTTCTATGTATGCTGTACTTATTTAATTATTTGGATATTTTGTATTTATATTCTGTACTCATTGCCGTTTGTGGCGTATTCAATATTTATTTGTTTTTTTTTTCTGTTTGATTATATTGTGACTTGTATATTACAAAAATAAATAAATATTGAAATAAAAATAAAAAAAATATCTAAGAATTTTTTTTTGGCGAAGAATACTGTCTTCATTACAGTACTACTACAGATGTTTTGCGTACGAAAAACAAAAAACAATACATATTATTATATTGTGAAGACTACAAAAGACCATTGATTTTTAAACTATATTAGATCGTTTCCGTGATTCTAATAACCCGTTGATAATTTTTGGAAATCATAAGAAACATTTTTTTATTCGGTATCGGGTTGAGACTCCGAAGCCCTGGACAAGTTTAAGGAAGCTATATTATTGACTTAAAAAACATTTTTTGCTCAAAAAAATAATTATATTTATGTATATTAATTTTCTCTAATAAAAAAAAAACAAACTTAATTTTAACAAATAAAAATATTTTATGTTAACTAAGAATTTTTTTCTGACCTAATATAAGATATTTAAGCCATATGTCGCAACCGCCAAATCTCTCCACCTGTCTCAATCATGGATATTATTACGATGGATATATCCATCGTAATGTATTTTTTTAAATATTACAAGTCTTTCAGGGATTTGCAGATAATCTTCTGGTGCATTTAAGCCATGGAAGTTGGGATATACATGTATATATATATATATATATATATATATATATATATATATATTATATACAATATAACAAATATTGCTAAATGGTTATCGATACTGTTTTTTACATCCATAATTATAAGGCGTGTTACGAACCTTTATAGAAGTATGTGTAATACAGATTCAAACAGACAAAAAATAGATAGAAATTCATTTTATTAGCACTTGAATAAGTATCTGAACCGGATAATACTCGCATGTTGTAGACGTGTGCGTATTAATGTACATGTGTTACATGCACTTGTTTTGTACATTGTGTTTGAATAAATGAAGTAGCAAAGATATTATATTATGGCCTACGACCCCTTTTCTCCGTGATGTGCTTCGTCACGTTAAATCGTGCTACCTAACGTCCGAAGAAAACAGTCTTAAAACTATTAAATATTTTCCAATGTGTGTTGTCAAGTTAGACAAAAGTTCAACACATTGTCAAACATTTAAATATTACCATTAAGATGCTAAAAAGTTAATAAAAAAAATTTAACAATTTATTTAACAGAAAATGTTCAACTACTATTAATCCAAATTGAGTTTTTCAACATATCGAGTTACACTTTTTTATAGCTTAATTAAGCTATAAATAATATAAATATCTATATATAGCTATAAATATCCCTGTCAATAAGTTATCAGAAAATGAAAAAATATTGTTCAACAATAGTACTTGTATTTTTAATCATTATTAAATATTTTGAAATAAAAACTTGAAAACTGTCAGTTACAAATAAAATACTCAATAAAAAATTGAAATATTATAAACAAAAAATTTATTATCGTTTTTTTATAGTAGTGCAATTTAAAATAAACAGGTTTTCTTCGCATATTTACTTAGAGTACAACTAACTTACAACTTATTTAAAAAATCATAAAATCGTAATCATCTCAAATATTTTGAGATTATTTTTTAGTTATACTAGAACAAAGTCTAATATTAAACTAATATTCAGCATAATTATACTCCATGTAAAAGATTGATAGTATTTCGATATTTTAAATAAGTGTTCAATTTTTTTTAATTCGCCTTTTTCCTATATATATATATATAATCTGTAGACATTGGAATGTGCGAACTATGTACCCATATGATACTCCACACTTTAAGAGAACTCATAAAATAAGTTTATAGTTAAAAAAAATACAAATACTGTTTTTACTAAAGGCACGACTGAAACTATTATTTTATACGTGGACATTATTTATTAAATAAAACATTTTTTTATATTGAATGATCTATAATCTGTTAACATACAATAAATATACCTACGATTTAATTTTAGGTAACTTAAATAAATTTCCATAATTTTATCGAGTTTTCAGAACAATAATGCTATAATTAGGCATTTAATCAATTTTTCAAGTTTGTTATTATAGATAAGAACAATTATTATTCTTTAACTTATTGCTTTTTCATTTTGTGACAAAACACGTTAAAATTAGTTATGAACCAAATCAGTAAATTTGGATAACCGAATATTTTTTCGATACTCAGAGAAATCGAATATTTTTTATGTTGATATTATTCAGTATTCGGAACCGAATATTCAGTATTATTCAGTTCAAAATATTTAACAATAATTATTACATTTATTTATTAAATAATAATAATTTTAAAATAACGGCTAGATTTGGAGAAGTATCCTAAATAGATGTGAATTCTAATAAGAAAAAGATAACTATATATAAGCAATAAGCTTTCCAAAAAAAAAAATGATCTCTAATTAAATTTTAATTACTTTATCGAATTACTCGGTCAAATAAAGATTGACCCAATGGCTCTGCGTTGAATAGCCGAATGTAAATTAGTCTCGAAGTATTAGCCGAACACTGAATAGTTTCCAAATAGTTGATTGATCACTAGTTAAAATACCACCAAAAAAAAAATTTTCAATGTCCTAAAAATATTTTGTTTTTGCTAGTGTTTTAACTGAATGTAAAATAAGATAATAAACACATGAATAATAAATTAAACTTTAATTTTCTTCAAATATTCTTAAATTAATTATTTTTAATATTATAATTTAACTTTTAATTTTTAAAAAAAAGTAATTTGGTAACTAATGAATCCTAATCTGATTTGAATATACAATTATTCTTTTAAAATCATTTAAATTATTAGGTCTGAACAGAGCCTATCCAATCCGGACTGTAAATTCACCTATGATGTTTTTAATCGAATAACATGACGTTTACTTATAATAAATCTCTCTAAATATTAACGGTAATCTTTCATTCAACTGTAATTCTGTATACTTAATTGTCGATCCAATTGTTACTTTTGTTCACATAAGATCTTGTCAATAGCATACAGGTACCTAATACAATTCAATAATACACAACTCATTTTACTTAAAGTAATGTGAATACTTTCATAACTTTTTTTTAGCATCACAAGTAGTTACCAACAAACATTTGACCGTTATTCGAATCAGTTGTACCACTTAACATTAATTTTATAGTATCTTTTGTAGGATCACATATATAGTGAAGGATTAACTACACTTGAAATTATTTCTTACACATACATATAATACAAATAGACAAACTTCAATAATAAGGAACATAAACATAATTTTGAAATAATATAAAACCATTTTATTAAGAAAAGCATAAAACACTTAAATGCCACAATTTTTGCAAAAAATTAAAAAATATTGCTTCTATTTTAAAATGTATAAAAATATGTCTAAAAATATTAAAAACTTAGGCTGATGAAAATTAATTTTAGTTAATTAATTTTAAACTATAAATCGACTACGCGTAAATGCGTAAAACGAAAATACCAAATACGCTAATCATATAATTAACCTTAAAAACATTGCATTTCGATTTAGACTAAATTATCCAAAAAATATTTATGTTAATGTTTAATAAAAATGTAACCTTATTGAATTCACAGCCCTGCCAAATAAAGTAGGTATAATAAAAAATAACTCTTTATATAAATGAATATTAAATACAATATTAATTTTCCATCCATTTGAGCTTTTAGATTTAATTATATATTTTTTAATGGTTTATGTTAGTTTAGCAATCCTAGTATTAACAATATGATTAGTAAATAGAAATCGTTTGACCTTTTTAAAAATAAATAATGTAAGAATGAGTATTGAAAAATATTGCATCCATGCCCATTTTATAATTTGCCAAAATTTTGGTTTATAGACGATTTCAACTTCATCATAATTTATTTTAACATTTATAATAAAAGGTTGTTGATAACTGCGTCCCTTTGTCCATTTAAACAGAACATTGTCTAGTTTAGTGTAAACTGAAACAAAAGAAAAGCAAAAATTTACCAATATTTCCGTAGTGTATAGAGAGCAAAGGGCAGCAAGTTTTAATAGCATATTAAAATTTCTTGAGAGAAATTGACTTATTATTTATTTATATTACTATTTAAGATATTAGCATTTGAAGATTTAAAAAAGGTGATGAGTGGGATAGTATATAGCGCTGCTCAAAATTAATCACAGCTCTCAGTCTACAATTCCTGCAAATCCTGTTCGCCTATAAGTAAATATTATAAAAACTCAAGAAGTAATAATACAATACTGTTTATCGACCTATTAACATTAATTAGACCATTCTTTATTTAATAGTAAAAAATAATAATAGGTTGCTATTAAACGTGAGATACACCTAAAATCTAAACTTAGGAATATTTTTTTTTAACAATCAACTTTATATTTGCAATGATTTATATAAATAAATTTAATTTATACATTTTCTTGAAAAATTATTATCTAACGAAAAAAGGGTGGTGGCATGCTTAATAAATCATAACTCAATTATTCTTAAAATAATTTTAGTGACATATTTATTTGTTGTAAAATATTTTTTATGCTCATTCCTTATAACTTATAATGATGTCAATTTTATTTTATTTTCAATGACAACATTTATATTTAACTAACTTATAAATTAGAAAAATAATGTAAAAAACCCAGCACAGGGGGGTCACGGCACAGTTATGACGTGGCAACTTTGGATCAAGTATAATGATATCTGACAGTGATTAAAATCACTATCAAAAAAACGCTTCGATGCAAATCTTTAGATAGTTTTTAATTTAAAAAAATTGGTGGATTATTCCAAAAACTACATGATTTGCTATTTCCTTATTAATATCCTGATAAGGATAAAGTATGTCGAATGAAAAAGGGATTATTAAAAAATACTACTTTTCATGAAAAAATTGAATTGATCCCTACATTTTTTTAAAAAGTTATAGCATTTTAAAGTAAAAAATATAAAATATAAAATCGAGAATTTTCACACAAATTTAGCATTCGGTAGCCATTTTCACCGTAAAGACAAAATAAAGTACGAAATTTTTTTTTTCCATAATAAAGTATATTACATTATCTTTAATTTAAGGTATATATAAAAGTGTCAGACTTTCCGGAACACTTTCAAGAGTTAAATTGAAAAAGTTAAATTTTTGTGAAAAAGTTAAATTTTTGTGAAAAAGTTGTCATTTTAAATCCCTCCTGTGGGCAGATTTATAAAAAAAATACGTCAAATGATAGGTAAAGACATCATGCATCTTTAAAAAAAATTATATTAATTTGGTCATATTTTGAAAAGTTATGACAGTTTTAACAAAAAAAAATGTCGAAACTCGGCGATTTTTAAATTTGTAATTTTTTTGGAGATTTCCACCATTTACGGGAAACGAGGGAATTTTTTTCAATTTTTGAGGGTAATGTCGTCGACTAGATACAATTTGAGATCTTTTGACGTATTATTGAAAAAAATCGGTTCGATGAGAGCTGAGTAAAAGTGGTAAAAGACACAAAAAACAAACTCATTACAGTAAAACCAATACCTTCTCAGCATTTCAGAAGTTATTACCATTTTAAATATAGATTGGAAGTGAGGCGCGAGTAAGACAATATGTATATATCTAATGATAATTAGATCAACATTTCCCGGATGTACTTTTCCTCTCGCCAAGACATAAAAATGCTAATAATCCAACCAGTCATTATTTTAATTGCATTACTTTCTATTTTATGATCTAGTTTAATATGTATATTTTTCATTTAAAATAATTAATTTGACGCCCTAATAAAGTATAAAGGATGACTTAAAAAAGTAATTAATGACTGATAAATTGAGAAATATATGAAACTAAAAAATACCAAAAATAAATTTCTTAACATAATTATTATTTAAAAAAAAAAATCGAGTAACTTGCATTAAAAGAATCACTCTGTGTATATTTTAAAAATAGTCAAATTTTAATTACTCCTTTGCAATTCTTAACAAAACAATGCTTACTAGAACGTTTTAAATAATCCTTATAAATGTTAAATAACCAGTCAGAAGTTTCGAATTGTAAAATAGAATTTTTCATTCGAATTGGATTTTTTAATGAACAGTCCAATGGAGTTTTTTGAACTAATTTTAAATCACCAATCAAATCTAGTTTTCCACCAGGTATAGCTGAACTATGCGTAATAACAGCCATAGATTCCATTTCAAGTAAACACAATTCCTTAAAAAATAATCAATCTTTAACAACATTATGCTTATTTTCGTTTTTGATTTTATCATTACATGTATTTTAAAATTAAAGAATAATAGTAACGTCACTGAATTAATATCGAAAGTTTCATTAGTCATCAAGTTCAATTGAAAATTAAGATTATCTTTTATACCATCCATGTTTCTATCTTCTTCTGCTACCTATAATAAAAAAAAAATTACTATTATATTTTTTAGCATTTTTTTTTATTGCTTTATCAGCTTATTAAAGGCCATACAGGCCTTCCCCAATGGAGGAGGTTTTTTAACCATTTATACTGCGGGACGGGTGGATAGTCCGGCACTGGAGAGAGGGATGGTGACTCCAATTACCGAACTGTTTTATCGTACGGCAAATAAAGCCGCCCGTGATCGAGTTTCAAACCCGTGGTAGTGCGGGTCAAACACTGCTGCGTTACTGACTTAGCCACACCATCCCTCTTTTTTTAACATACGAGTAAAATTATGATCTTCATCTTAATTAAAAACCCACCGCAGTGTGATCGAGGAACAGTTAAGATGTGGCATAGTTGGGTCAAGTAAATCATATCTGACAGTATAAAATTAATATAAGCATCATAAAATTAAAAATATAAAAATGAATTATTTACAAAAATCGTGTTTTTTTTTTATTAATTTTGTATTCACCATAAAAACAAACTAAAGTCTGAAATTTTTCTTTTTTACATTAAACTATATTACATAAACTTTAATTTGATATATATATATAAGTGTCAGTTATTCCGGAACAAATTAAAAAATTAAGTTTAAAAAGTTCTTTTTTTTAAATGCATTTTAAAGTTTTGAACCTCCCCTGTATAAAGGGTACTGGTTCGATTTATAAAAAAACTATGTCGAATGAAAGAAGTACATAACTATTAATTCTCATAAAAAAATTATATTGATCCATACATTTTTCAAAAGTTATAGCATTTTAAAATAAAAAATGTAAAATATAAAATCGAGAATTTTCACACAAATATAGCATTTGGTAGCCATTTTAATCGTGAAGACAAAATAAAGTCCGAATTTTTTTTTTTTATGATAAAGTGTATTACATTAGCTTTATTTTAATATATATATATATAAGTGTCAGACTTTCCGGAACACTTTCAAAAGTTAATTTTTTGTAAAAGAGTTGTCATTTTAAATCTCAAATTTATAAAAAAAAATATACAAAATGGTAGTAGGTATATACCTACTAATTTATGAGGTATATACCTCATGAATCTATAAAAAAAAAATTTTATTGATTCATATATTTTTCAAAAAGTTATGGTAGTTAAAGTAAAAAAAATTGAAAAAAATGTCGAAAATTGGCGATTTTTAAAATTATAATATTTTTATATAATAATTGGAGATTTCCCCCCTTTACGGGGAACGAAAGAAACATTTTAAATTTTTGAGGATAATGTCTTTGACTAGATACAATTTGTGATCTTTTGACGTATCGATGAATGAAATCGGTTCGGTGAGAACTGAGAAAAATTGGTTGCAGACAAAAAAAAGCACAGTGGGGTGACGGCACGGTGGGGTCATGGCATAGTTGGGTCCAGCGTAGATGATATCTGACAGTGATTAAAATCACTATCATAAAAAACGCATCGATGCAAATCTGTAGATAGTGTTTAATTTAAAAAAATTAATGGAATATTCAAAAAGCTACAGGATCTTTTATTCATTATTTATATTCTTATTATAAGTGTTATGATAATAAAGTATATTACATTAGCTTTAATTTAAGGTATATATAAAAGTGTCAGTATTTCCGGAACATTTTAAAAGTCAAGTTGAAATAGTTAATTTTTTGTGAAAAAGTTGTCACTTGGAATCCCCCCTGTGGGCAGGTAAAGAGTCAAATTTATAAAAAAAATATATCAAATGATAGGTAAAGACTTTTTGCATCTATTAAAAAAAAATTATATTGATTTGTTCTATTTTTATAAAATTATGACAGTTTTATGTGAAAAAAAATTTCGAATCTTAGCGATTTTTAAATTTGTAATTTTTTTGGAGATTTCCCCATTTATGAGAAACGAGGGAAAATTTTTCAATGTTTGAAGGTAATGTCTTCGACTAGATATGATTTGTGATTTTTTGACGTAACGTTGAAAGAAATCGGTTCGGTGAGAGCTGAGAAAAAGTGGTAACAGATACAAAAAAAAAAAATAAATAAATAAACACATCATAGTAAAATTAATACCTTCTCAGCTTCGCATCAAAGCTAAAATTAGGAAAAGAACTGAATATATAAGTTTACTGAACTTTTTTTTTAAACATGTCATCTATTTTTATTTAAACGATTTATATCTATATTATAACAAAAAATAGTTATTTTAATGAAATTTTGTGTTTTTCTCATAAATATACTGTTAGTAATAGTTATACAGTATAAGTTCTTAACCACATATCAATCTAAAGAATGCGATTTTTTAAATCCTCATAAAATTTTCTATTTTATGATATAAATTCCCCAAAGTTGCAAGTTGGACTAAAAAAAAGTTAAATAATTCAATATTTTTAAATTATAGTGTTTAATTATAAGAAATTGATTAATAATTCCAAAAGCAAAATTAACTCCAATTTCCTTATTAACATTATGATTACAATTTTTATAATTTGTAGTTATAATATATGAATAAATATTTATTATAGCAATTACATATAGTATAAAATTAATATTAAATAATTTAATTTTGTAATTTATATGGAGAAGTGATTAAAAATCATAACGGAGTTGTATATTTAGTAACTTTTTTGGTAAACGCGTGTAAAAAAATAATTTCATATTAAATTTTTTTGAGGGAGAATTAGAATTGTGGACCCAATCTTTTTTTCGTGATTTTTAAAAACTAACAAAATTAAAAAAAAATTATTTTTATACATTTTTTTTAAAATTGGATATAATTTTAGATATGATAAAAACCAAAATAAATATTTTCCAGTAAAACAGTAGGGGTAATTCCCTCCTCCTAATTCCAATAATTGTACAATGCACTTCCAGAATGAATAGATAATTTAAGGTAGTTCAAACTTTCAAAGTCATTTTTCTGAACTTAAGATGTAGGCAATGGCAATAAAATCTAAATAAGTTTAACTTTATATTTAATGTAGATTATATTTATATAACATTTACAAGAATAGGTGACTGTATGTATAGTACTATTCTTTGTTTAGTATTTCAATTTAAAAAAAAAGTGAATCGTATAAAAGAGATTTTTATAAAGTGCTTACAATAGAAGACATATATTGACGTATAACTATTGGATAAATAAAATATAAATCAAAAATGTTCAACACAATAGCATGTTTTCTTAAGTACGATTCCAATTTCCACATAACAGATAAGTTGTCAGGTCAATTTTTTTTTTTTACTTTTAAATCGTAACATAATTTAACGTATGTTTAAGCTCGGAGTATTTCCATTTTCAAAAGATAAAGTGCAATGTTCTAATTTTTACTCATATGTTTCAATTTTTGAACCCCACTATTTAAACTTAAAATTTAACCTTAAAAAATATATTTTCCTTAACCAATAACATAAAAATAATCAAATATTTATACAAAACTATATTTATTGCTTAAGATTTAAAAATAAATAATACAGCACCTTTATCATAGGACAGAATCCCGTAGTTATAACTTTTTCAGGATATATACCGCAAATTAATGGCACTAATGGATCGGAAGTTTCAGAAATCAATAAATACTCAAATTTAAATTCTACCTCTGGTTGTTCTAAATATTTATCGTATTTTAGCCACAAACCTATTAACATAAAAATAGAAGAAAATTGCTTTTTATTATTTAATTGACATAACACAAACAAATTATTGAATAATACCATGACTTTTGTAACAGAATAAAAACGGTAAAAAGAAAGTTAGTAAAACTATAACTAAATATAAAAGAAATGCTTTAGAACAGAGGGAGGCTTTATATTTTACACTTAAGGATTGCTTGTAAACTTCAAACACCGACATTTTTCAACTTTCACACTAACCTAAAATATCGAAATAAAACAGTACGAAATATTAAGGGTTTGTTTTTATTAAAGTATCCATAGTTACAATGCAATGGAATAAACTGCTAGATGCGTTATACGTTACATTATTTCAATTATTACTAAGACTCGTTTTATGCAAACTGTAAAAATAATAATTAGACGATTATTTATACTAATGCATTTAGTAGCGGCTTCGCGTAGAGTCATGCCCCATCAACAATCCACAGTAATAATTATAAAATTATTTTACTGTTTCAGCCGAGTAACTATGAATGAGTGCTAGTGAAAATTGTTCTTTCATACATCTATATTTTATTAATAAAAAAAATTATTTATGTAAAAGGTCATTTTACTTAAAATTTTTAAGACGAAAAATAATTGATTTGCTTTTCTCTCCAAACAAATTAGAGTAAGTCTTATTTTATTTTTCAATTATTTGATAATAATGCTTAAACATGAAATTAAATATATTCATGACATGATTACAATTCTAAAGCTCTACTAAATGCCAACGACAAAGAGTATCAAATGAGACATTTGAGGATCTGGAATTTTTTATATATTAAGACGTTTTAGCTTCGATGCGAAGCTGAGAAAGTATTAATTTTACCATGATGTGTTTTTTTTGTGTCTGTTGCCACTTTTTCTCAGCTCTCACTGGATTGATTTTGATGAAAAATATGTCAAAAGATTATAAATCGTATCTAGTTGAAGACATTACTCTTAAAAATTAAAAAAAAATCCCTCGTTCCCCGTAAATGGAGGATTTTTTAAAAAAAATTACAATTTTTAAAGTCAGTAAATTTTGTCATTTTTTTTTCACATTTTTTCATGAAACTACCATAACTTCTTCAATAATTAACAAAACAACTTATTTATTTTTATATTGAAGTCTTAGATTTTTCTCTTTCATTTGATATAATTTTTTTGAAAATCTAACGCTTAACCTGCTAACAAAGGGTATTTAAAATAGTAACTTTTTTATGAAAATTAACTTTTTCAAATTAAATTTTGTAATTGTTCCAGAAATACTGGATCCTTTTAACAGATAAAAAATTAAAGCTTATGTCATGTACTATAAAATGAAAAAAAAAAATTGTCCCGACGATTTATCTTCTATGTGAAATAGCTGCCGTAGTTTAAAACATGCTATTTTTGTGTTAAAATTATTGATTTTCGATATTATATTATCAAGTTTAAATTGCTATAACTTTTAGAAAAATGTATGTATCAACACAAATTTTTTTTTCTAAATATATTATAAATACTTCTTTTATTTAACATACTTTTAATTTAAATTGGATAATTTTCCTTTATACAGGGGGTATTCAAAACTTGAAATATACGTATAAAAAGTAGAACTTTTTCAACTTAACTTTTGAAAATGTTTCGAAAATACTGCGTTCTATAAACATACATCTAATTAAAGCTGACTAAATACTATAAGTTCAAAAAAAAAAATTTATCCCGACACCTTTTCTTCTATAAGAAAATGACCGTAAAATTTAACGAAAAGCGTCAGTTGCCGAATCAGTAACATATATGTCTTTCACGGTAAGATCCGCCTGCGACATTAGTATTTTGCATTTTTTTTAGTTAGAAAGAAATTTCAAATCATTTGATTATTATCTCATTTAAAGTTATATAACTTCAATAAATTCCAAGGATCCCATCACTGTAGTCTCCCCTCATGAGAAGAAATTTCTTATTCAATTTAATATTATTAATTTTACTATGATGTGTATTTTTTTTTTTGTGTGTCTGTTACCACTTTTTCTCAGCTCTCACCGAACCGATTTTTTTCAACGATACGTCAAAAAATCACAAATCGTATCTAGTCAAAGACATAACACTCTAAAATTAAAAAAAATTCTCTCATTCTCCGTAAATGGTGGAAATCTCCAAAAAAATTACAAATTTAAAAATCGCCAAGTTTCGACATTTTTTTTTTCTTAAAACTATCATAACTTTTTCAAAATATGACCAAATTAATATAATTTTTTTAAAGATGCATGATGTCTTTACCTATCATTTGACGTATTTTTTTTATAAATCTGACCCTTAACCTGCCCACAGGAGGGATTCAAAATAACAACTTTTTCACAAAAAATTAATTTTTTCAATTTAACTATTGAAAGTGTTCCGGAAATACTGACACTTTTATATATATCTTAAATTAAAGTTAATGTAATACTTTATCTTAATCGGGATATAAATAAGGCAATATCAGACCACGTAGCTTTTGGAATAATCCACCAAATTTTTAAAATTAAACACTATCTAAAGATTTGCATCGAAGTGTTTTCTATGATAATGATTTTAATCACTGTCAGATATCATTATACTTGACCAACTATGCCACGTCACCACTGTACTGCGACCACCTTATGCTGGATTTTTTTTTTTGTGGCTCCAATTTGTTTTTTCCAACCCTCACTTAACCTATTTTTTCATCGATATATCAAATGATTACAATGCGTATTTAGTTAAAGATATTACCCTCAAAAATTGAAAACAAATCTCTTAATTAAATAAAAAGTAGCTTAACCAGCTATATCCATACAAACAATTAAAATCATTAATTTCTAATATTTTTAAAGTGTTTATTGTCAAATTAGATTTGATATGATAAAAATATTCAACTACAAAAATAAATAATTTTACTTTATTTGTTAATTTTTAAGTCTATTTGTGTATGCTACTATAATTATACTATAATTTTACAATATTCCAAATTTTTTTGAAATATGTAATATAAATCATAAATCTAAAAAAAAATAATTTTTAGTTTCACCTCAATTTAATAATAGATTTTTACAATTATAATCAAAGTTTGTAATACAATTCAGTAGATCTTTTTACAATTTTTTTTATTGGTTTTATTAATTAAAGTAAATCATTAAAATTAATTCAGATCTGCATATTTCAATGGTAGATTCTTTTTAAACACCAAAAGTTAATTAGAAATGATTTTTATTATAATTTATTATGATAAAAATGCAAAAAAAATCGAGCTCTTCTGTACCGTAAATAGTAGTAATAAAATTTACTCTATATTAATTTTAACAATACCATTTTTTTACTATTTAATGATGTCAATTTCATACTCGCAAGTTGAGCTATAAGTTATGGCAATCAATTAATTTTTTTTTTTTATATAAACTTTTACAAAAAAAAAGTAGGTTAAAATGATTACTTTTTACATATTAAAAATCAAAATCATTAATAATTTGAAAACAATTAATCATAAAAATTATATATTATATTTTTGAATCTGAGAATTTCTAATCTGGATATGCTTTTATAATTATCCACCAATTTCTTAGAATTAAACACTATCAACAGATTTGCATCGAAGTGTTTCTTATGACAGTGATTAAAATATCACTGTCAGATTAAATCTATACTAGGCCCAACTTTTTCCCGTCTCCACTGTGCTGGGTTTTTTTCTCATTGATTTCTCTGATATCTGTTTTAAAAAATAAATTTATAACTATTAAATAATTTTGTCCTATACCCCTCATAAGTAGGGATTAAACTTACCTTCGCTTGCAATTTAGCATAATTTCATTGATCTAATTCAAGTTAATAGTTGATATATATAGTCATTAAAAATAATTTATTACAATCACAGAACGCTATCTAGTTTTCACTTTTTGATATACAGAAGTGTGGTAATTACGGTTAAACATTTAAGAACAGCTGCTGGAATGTGTTTAACTACACGGCATAACTTGTAGTTTATCAAAATATTTGTAAACATAATAATAATAATGGCCTAAAATAAGTGTGATAACATTTAAATACTTATATCCAATGTAGTAATTCTAATTAAATGTTTTTAAATAAATTAGAGAGATATTATCTACGTTGTTCATTATATATTGTGAGTTTTTTTTTTAGTTATTATTGTATTAATTCTACATGTCTGGCTTTCCGTCATCGTATTCGCCAAAATCATCACCTCGAGGAGCTAGGTCTCCTGTTGTGTCTAGACAGGATTCCACTGGCACACTTAAAACAACTATCTCCTTGGGTAAAAATCCATCAATTGTTCACAGTGGGCCATTTTATCTTATGAAAGAGCCACCATGTAAGTAATTTATTTTATATAGAGATTATTGAATATTTCTTCAATTATCTTATTGATAGTAACTTCATATCCTATAATTTTTTTTTGGTCTATGCAAAACATGATTTATCATTTTTTGGAAAAATTGTTATTATATGATTATTTATCTAGACAATGCACTACATTTTTATCTTATTTTAAATATATTGATGAGCTTTTTAGGAAATTTAATTTTCTATCATTCAACTATGCTATAATTTTAAATGTCCTATTAATAGAACGTGCACAATTTTTAAATTGTTGCTGTCTGAAACTATATAATTGATTTATATTAATAGAAAACTTATGATAACAATGCATTAAAAATTGGTATTCATACTACATTAAAATAATTTAATATTTCTTTTGAATCTTACCATAATATATAACTAGTAATTTCATTTTATTTAAATAAGAACATTATTTCAAAATTAAATTTTATATGTTTTTTACATTATAAATTTAAAAAATGACTAGTAATTGAATAGCCATTGATTAATATAATAAAATTAAAATTGTATACAAACAATATGGTTTGTAATTATGCACTTTAAGGAACTAGGAAATTTATCATACCAAAATTTCACTCCTCTATTTCAGTAATAATATTTAATAATACCCAAATTGATAATTTGTTATTTCAAAATTTGTTTCAGTTATAATATGTTATCATTATACTAGCATAAATTGAACCATAAAAATCTAGTTCATGTACACAATTTTCTACAGACATTATTTATCTTAAGCAAAACCACATTTTGGCATAATTGTAATTTCAATGTAATAAAATTTTTGTAATATCCTTTTTCTTTTATTTTTAAATATTATTAAAATATTTTTGATTATCCCATTTAAAATAGAACTGTAGTTCAATATTTTAAATAATCCTTTTTTTTATATAATCAAAAAATACAGCATAATAATTTAACTATAATAAAAGCATTTACTATTAATTAACCACAAAATAACAACTTTAAAAATAGTTGGACTATAAAATGTTAAAGATATATATATAAATTATCTATGATTTAAGACATTCTAATGATAAAAGTATGGTTACAAAGCACTTTCAATACATTATTGTTTTAATTTAGACTATTTTTGTGCAAAAAAAATTTATTCAATTATAATTGCAATAATAATTAAATATAAAAAAGAGAAAATTTAATTATTTTTGAAAAATATTAGAATCTAGAGTGACATTAACAAAAAGGAGCATTCTGTGTAATATATTATGTCTTTATGGTTACCAAAAATTAATAAACACAAAAAACTTTAAATTGCATTAACAATAAAGTTATAATTAAATCAATTTAAATATACTTTTTTATTAATTGAGTGATTATAATTGATTTTAGATTATTAAAATATTATTATATTTTGTATAGCTGAAAACAAAAAAAATTATTTTACCCTATACTGTGAATTGTATTTTATCATTATGTTTACAGCCTAATTTTTTTTTTTTTTTCTAAGACAATACAATTTTTTTTATATAAAGTATTCTATGCATAATATTTGTTTATTCTTGATATTATTATGTTGGGTATTAGGTTATGCATTAATGTTATTACAACTTTATTTTAACTATTTAGGTGAAAGTGAATTAACTGGCTCTGTCAATTTGATGGCCTATTATGGATTAGAACATACATATAGCAAATTCAGTGGCAAAAGATTAAAAGAAAGCTTATCATCTTTTTTACCAAATTTACCGGGAATTATTGATACACCTGGACACAATGATCAAAGGTAATTAATTGATGTAAAATTAAATTTAACTAATTTATTTAAAATGTAACGTATTGATTTCAAAACAAACTGTAATGCAAACAACTATTATTATTATAATAATATAAAAATTATAATAGATTTAGCCAAAACTAGAAGCTACCATTTTATTATTATTATTATTATATCCTAGATCTTGAAAGTATTACTTTTATTTTTAGTTCTTTACGATCTGTTATTGAAAAACCCCCAATTGGAGGAAAAGAGATTTTGCCATTAACTACTCACCAACTAGCTGGGTTTCGATTACATCCAGGACCAGTAAGTTATTTTTATTTTTTAATCATATAATAACTGAACTATATTTTATTTTAGCTTCCAGAACAGTATCGCTATGCTAATCAACCCCCAACTAAAAAACATAAAAATAAACATAAGAAAAGTAAGTACAAAAGTGGAGAAGCACTTTCCCAAGACATGGCAGCTAATGAATTAGGCTTGGGTGATATACACGAAAAGAAACATAAGAAACAAAAACGCCATGATGACGATAAAGAACGAAAAAAACGAAAAAAAGAAAAGAAAAAGAAAAAACAAAAACACAGTCCTGAACATCCAGGAAATATTACACCTGGTCAACATTCTAACTAATATAAAAATATGTATTATAAAAAATTTCCTTTAATTATATTTTGTAACTTTTAATTTGTTTAAAATGTTGATATCATGTACATAAAAGTATATAAAAATTTTGAACAAAGCATGCATGTGTAAAATCTCTACTAATATATTGGTATAGGAAAGTTTTTGTTAATAAATCAACAATAAATAATTCTACATTATGTTATGTTTCGAGAGAAATTCATAGTAAGCATCAAAAATTATTTTTAACTGTATAATAATTATGATTTTTTTTTTGACATATTTAATTACTTAAGTTATATTTTGATACATGTATGAAATGTAGAATTCTCATTTTTACCAACACAATTACAGAAACAATTAGAGTTCTGGTTCTTGAGACAATTGTTAAATATATTACATTTGATAGATAAATTTATCGCTTGGTAGCATTGTGGTGTATTTCTGAAAAATGGTATAAATTTAACAAATTAAAATAATTTGATACTACGTCTACTAGAATACCAGATTATCATTATACCATGATTATATTTAATTAGAGAACTAAGGCCAGGTTTTTTAATAGTTTATAACATTTAATGTGACGAGCCGAACAAGTTGTTAGCATGGCAACTCTCCTCACTAGACTTGGCAATCCCCCTAATCTCTAGCAGTGCTCAGCTCATTTACCTATAGCATATACTAAAATAGTTATGGTAAATGTAAGTAAAAATAAAAAATCTTATTTTTAGTTCTATTTTTTGCTTAGCGATTTTTTATCTTTTTAAGTCATATATGTTCTGTATTTTTTACCAAAATATTATCATGTTTCATATAATTTGAATGTAATAACATAATTTATATGTATTTTGATTTATTATTATAATAACTCTGAGAAAAACTTTTTTAGCTTCGATGCGAAGCTGAGAAGGTATTGGTTTTACTAAGATGTGTTTTTTTTTTTTTTTTTTT